TCAACGACCTGAGTTCGGACCACCAACCGGTGCTGACCGAGCTGGGCTACAACGTGGCCCCTGCACCGTGCCAGCGGAAGGACTACCATCGAGTCAACTGGGTCCAGTTTCGAAGCGTGGTCGACCGCCACATCGACGACAACCCACCACTCGACACAGTGGAGGACATCGACCGGGCTCTGGAGGGTCTCCATCAAGCCATATCCGTGGCTGACGAAGAGTGCGTTCGACGAGTTCCTGTGAGGGGTAAGTTTCAAGCAATTGATTCCCACACCAAACTCTTGATTCGGCTCAGAAATGTTCGTAGACGCCAGTTTCAGCGGACTGGGGATCTGCAGCGTAAATACGAAATGGTCGATCTGAATCGGCAGATCGCTTCCAGAATGGTCTCAATCCGGAACGAGAGTTTCGGGCGGCTCGTTCAGAACCTGGACGACCGTTCCAGACCATTCTGGAAGGTTGCCAAGGTGCTGAAGTCTCACCCCAAGCCCATTCCACCACTTAGAGTCAATGACGAACGGCTTATCACCAACGAAGAGAAGGCCAATGCAATTGCCCAGACAACCATAATGCACGTATATTCAAATTTGTTTTCGTGATATACAAACATATATACATACAAACAAATCGTATAGAATGCAAAGAAATGGCTTATACGTACAAAAGTGGAGGCCATATATGTACGTGCAAATTTTAATTTAATTTTAAACGAGTTGATTTAACATCATATGCGATTTAATCTGTAATAACAAATTCACTTTGGAAAGTCTTACGATGTAATCCGATTTGATTTGTGATACAGTAAGACGGAAAAATGAATCATCGCATGTAGGTCGGAAATTTGCATTCTATACGATTTAACTTAAACATAATGCGATGCATGCCATTCTTATATGCGATTTTGACTTAAACTGTAGCAATTTACGATACTGTCTGCACATTGTTATACGACTTCTGGTTGTCTGGGTGGGGAGCACATTGCTCAATCGCATTTGCTTGGCTCTACAATCCCAAGTCCACTCGAGAACCAGGTTGTGCAGTGCGTCCAGACGTTAGATACCTCCCCTTGTGCCGTCCCTCCAGAAGAACGGATTACAGAGGAACAAATTTGCTCAGCGCTGAAATATAGTAAAAACATGAAGGCTCCCGGGTTTGACGGAATATTCAACCTAGCGTTGAAAAATATCAGCCCGAGGGTCCACTCGCTGCTGGCTGCCATCCTCAACAGATGCTTGGAGCTGCACTACTTTCCAAGCATCTGGAAGGTGGCAAAAATCATCCCGATCCGCAAACCTGGGAAAGACCCTTCACTACCGTCAAGCTACAGACCGATTAGCCTGCTCTCAGCGCTGAGCAAGCTGTTCGAAAAATTGATCCTCAGCCGACTAAACAAGTTTGTGGAGGAACATGACATTCTTCTTCCGGAACAGTTCGGGTTCCGCAAGGGGCATTCCACCAATCATCAGCTAGTGCGGGTGATGAATAACATCCGAAGTAACAAAGCTGTATCCAAGTCCACAGCCATGGCCTTGTTAGACGTCGAAAAGGCGTTTGACAATGTCTGGCACGACGGACTTATATACAAGCTTTGTAACTCCAACTTTCCACCATACCTTGTGAAAATCACCCGTAACTATCTCCAGCAAAGGTCGTTCAGGGTGTCGTTGAATAGTTCCCTTTCGGGACAATTTCCGATCCCAGCAGGTGTTCCGCAAGGGAGTCTGCTGGGACCACTGCTTTACAGCATCTACACGTCGGACATCCCTCCTCTAGGAGACGGTTGCGTGTTCTTTCTGTTTGCAGATGACACCGCGATAGCCGTCAAGGGTAGGATGCCTCGTGAAATTACGAACAAACTCCAACGATGCCTTGACACCTTTACTGATTATGCCACCACGTGGAAAATCAAAATCAACGCCTCGAAAACCCAAGCGATCATGTTCCTTCACAGACAATCACCAAAACTTAAACCGTCTCCCTCCTGTACCGTAATAATGGATGGTACAATAGGGTGCTTCATTCTGAAAAAAGTGATGAATTTCTGATGGGCCACCCTCCAGTTCGATTCATAGCCCCAAAATATGAACCTGTGCAAAAATTGGTAAAGATTGATGAAGGTTTAGAGGTCGCGCCAATGATTTGAAATTTGTATGGGAATTACTATGGAAGAATTTAAAAAATCGCTTATATCGCTATAACTTTGCTTCTACTTGTCCAAATGTCGAAAAAATTTAGTATGTTATTGCTATGGCAATAAACAAAAAGCCTACAGTTGCTACGCTCAGTTTTGCAGCGTATCAAGAATTATAAAAATGTGAAAAAATGGCAAAATAGGGTAAATTGACAGATGAATATGTACAAGGCAACAACGCCAATTTCATCGCAACAACAACAGGCTTGTTGATCATTGTCATGACAACCACATATTTTTTTTTCAACGTTTGGACAACTACAACCAAAGTTAGAGCAATGTAAACGAAAATCAATAATTTCCCATACTAATTCACCAAAATCTCCATACAAAATCCAAATCATTGGCGCGACCTCTAAACCTTCATCAATCTTTACCATTTTTTGCACAGGTTCATATTTTGGGGCTATGAATCGACCTGGAGGGTGGCCTATCAAAAATTCATCACTTTTTTCAAAATGAAACACCCTAATGGTACAAGGGTCGAGTGGTCCACTGATGTTACTTATCTCGGGATGTTGTTCGATGAGAAGCTCCTGTTCCGCTCGCACATAGAGAAAACCCTAGTTAAGTGCTCCGCCTTGGTTAGGTGTTTGTATCCGCTCATTTGCCGCAGATCCCGCCTCTCAAGGCAAAACAAACTGGCTGTTTACAAACAGATCATAGCCCCCGCGATCTTCTATGCCGCCCCGGTGTGGGAATCGTGCGCTCAGACCCACAGGAACAAAATCCAGGTTGCACAGAATAGAGTGTTGAGGATGATCCTAGATCGTCCATTCGACACAAGAATAGCAGACCTCCATCAAGAGGCAGAAATTCCCAAAGTAGATTCCAAAATTGATGATATGACAACTAAATTTATTCAAAAATGCAATCTTTCTGAACATGCTTTAATAAGCAATTTGTACATAGTAGGTTAAGTGTATATAGTAGAGTAGGTTAGTTTTAAGCTGTAAATAGTAGTATTAAGTAGTTTCTCTTCAAATTCTAAAAACAAAACAAACCAATCCCACCAAGGTGGTCGACCGTGTACTAAGTCTAGGACTAATTCTGTAAAACAAATTTTGAATTTTGCCCATACCTAAAGATGAAGAAAGCAATTAAATCACTTAGTAAAAATTTATATGGTAAATCGTCCAAGTTAAACTAAAATAAAGATCATTTAAACTAAACAACTGCTCTTGCTTATTGTCGCCTCGGACGGCATGGCACTTGGTCCTGCAGCAAGCAGGACCAAGTCAGTGGCTAAAGGTGGATCACGGCGTGACCACAATGAGGAATGCGACACAATGAGGAATGATGAAAAGCAATATAAGTAAACCCCCTCCCCCCTTCACAACAACCTCTCCCCCCACCCCCTCCCCCTCAACAATAACCCGAAAAGGACATGGAATTTGAAGATCACTTTTTTCCAGGAAATAAATTTTAAACAAACCACAATTATTAGTAAAAACAGAAGTTTTCCGCTTAATTTCTTCCCGCACCAAAACTTTCAAATTTGAGAAAAACAAATTGCTTGAAAGACATATTCGATGATATTATGTTGGTGAATTACACACAACTGAGTGTAAAACATATCTGGTACCTCTATACATGAAATTATATTAGCATCCAAAGTCCATCCTTTTTTTCCATTTTCTGCACAAAAGCAATGTTCTGCCCCGCCCCCATTCATAATAAAATGGCGGGAAATCCTGTCAGTTGCGGGGCTTCGAAAGTATGTTTTGTGCAGAATATGTAAAAAAGGAGGGACTTCGAATGTATTTTTTCTGCAAAATATGTAAAAAAGGAGGGACGTCAGATGTTAACCTATTTAAATGCATATATCATACATTATAGATAGTGATAGATAGATAGGTTCTACGTCATACTGCGGTCGTGTTTAGGACACAACCCTTTAATTTTTTTTCAACTTCCCTGGATTTTCGTTCAACAAGCAAATCCAGTATATGTGGCAAACCTTAGAATGGGCCTTATTTGTAAGGTGGATAACAACCTATTATTCCCAACTGTTCTTCCTATGTGTATTGAGGTCCCCAGCAACGGTTTCAACTTTGAACGAATTTGTTTATGATCTGGGTTTGCGTTTGCGGGAGTATTTTAAAATTTGCATGGGAAACGGAGCAAAACTAGTAATTTGCTTAATTTTTTAAATATTGATCATTTTTAACCAAACCTGGAACTTATGTTAAGAAAAGTATACAAAACAAATTCGTCGAAGACCGCAAATCGATTCGAATTCGGTGCAGAAAGGTAATATTTTGTTACTGTCCGCTGGTGCTCCGCGCATACTTTAAAGCTTATATGTACTCCAATTGGTATGCGCGGAACACTTGGCCATAAATTAAAAATAATGACTTTTTGCACAGAAGTTTAATCGATTGGCGGTCTTCAACAAAGTTGTTCTTTATAGTTTATCAAAGTGCCAGGCAGTGTTCAGAAAATCATTCTCACACCCCCCCCTGCGAGAATAAGTTGACCCACCCTAGTGACCATGTCCATTTCAATACCATTAGGACGTGCTCACTTTTATCCTTCAATCAGTTTAAAGCTGATATCGTGCATTGAAATATCCGTTCATGCTGTTCAAAACGTCTTTGATCTCGCCACGCACTGACTGAACGCTCAAAATTGCCAATCTTTTGCTCCGAACAACGAATCGATTCATGGCATATGTTTTGTTGGTTATAGATTATCTGAACTGCATCCATCACAGCTGCATAACTCTCGCGGACCTGGAAGCGAATATGATTTAAACCCACAAAGACAGGAAGCATTTGCCACCGCCCCCCTTTTGCTCGGTACTTACCTAGATTATCCACATCACACGGCAGCGTGATCGTATCGCCAATGACGGCCCGCATCTGCTGCGATTGGGAGGTGAACTTTGGTTGAATCATCGGCGGGCTGTCGATAAAGTCTGGATCTGACAACGGATCGGACAGTGAGTTACCGTACGATGTGCCTGAAAAATTGAAAAAAAAAATGGAGAAAATTAGAAATCAGAACAACGACTATAGGGTGTAGCACTACTTTGGCAGATGGCACTCATTTCCGCCGTACGCGTCAAAATCAATGAAGATGATTCAACATTCATGCAACAATTTCTTTGCAATTGCACGTTGGAAGAGTTTTAAATTAAGAGAGCTGCTGAAATGGTACTGCACCCTAATTTGGTACGAGTGAACCATGAAGAGCGACCCAGAAAAATGAGGGAAAACAAAACGTCAATCAGTTTTACGGAACTGGGTTCTCGGTTTTTGCGGTGGATTCCCGGCAATCAAACTGGTAGAAGGCGAAAGCGACGGAGCAGTTCGAATTGCATCTGTGCTGGTAGATTTGCTACACAAGCTGCATCGATTGAAGGGCAGATGCAATTAGTGCAGTCAGTAAGTGAATGCCAATGAAAAAAAAAAAAGAAATTCGAACGAAAATGCAAGATCGATTCCCCAATCATTACAGAAAACAGAATATTGATGGGCCGATAATATTTCAAGCCTCCCGGAATAATGGTTCTCCGTCACAGGCCATCAATTTCCCGCAGCAGTAGCAGCGTTGCATCGAGGCAAACGTGCCGATTGTGCATTTTTTCCCACCACCAACAAGGTTCCGGAACGCGCAAAGCCACACAAATATGAATCAAACTGGAGCCGCATAGAAATGTGCAGACCAACCGCTCGAGTGTCAATATTTGAGCTCGGCGGTTCAATACGATGGCTGTCGAGTTGTAATTTTGTTTCACTCAGCACGGTGTTTTCGTTGTCGTCGTCGATGGCATTCGATTGGAAAACGAAGGTGATGGGGAAAATGGGGTGTTTACTGTCGAACGCGATGTTTGTTTAGCTATGGTTTTCAGCAATGATGAAAAGCCACTTTCAGCTTGCAGTCATACACAATTGTATGAAACTGTTGCTGGTATAGCTTTGGTTGGGATTTCCACGGAATGAGCAATCACAATGAAAAATTGGACCACGGCTGGTTGGTTGATTTTCATTTTAATTAACAATTTATCGTTAGAGGGTACAATTCATGTACGAAATGTGAGTTGTTTGGATACAATGGAACTACGTATAACTTGTGGTCTATAAATTGAACGAGTTTACAAGTGTTATGAACGTACTTAATATGCATTTTGACTTTTCAAATAATGAGTGCTCTTTTTTTAGTTTCACGGCCATTTTTTAATTAACTGAGCATCAGTTGACCTACATACTTCGACGAAATACTTTTGACGTTGCTACGAAAACACTCAGGGTCGAGCTTCAGCTAGCGATGTCGAGAGCGTGATCCCGCCTGTGGCCATACCAAAAGGGGGGATGTTTCTCAGAGTCTTAAACTATGTTAATCATCGATCGAGTTTCCACTTCCTGCAATTACGGCCTCCACACTCCTCCGGAATGCACGGCAGGTTCTTATAATGTAGTCTGGATCCATTTCTCTCCAGGTACGGGTCAATGTTTGTCTGAGGCTTGCTGTACTCGGGTGGCGTTGAGTAATCCAGCGGATTAAGATCGGGGCTGGATGGTGGCCACATATCCTTCGCCCAGAACGAAAGATGTTCCTGCAACCACTTCTGAGTGCGGTTCGAGGTGTGACACGGAGCCCCATTTGATCCACGGAAGAACATACTTCCACAGACAAACAGACGTAACTCTTTGAAAAAGTTTTTCTTGAAAACATAGTATCTCAAAACATAGGACCTCAGTAACGACATCTCTCGGGTTTCTCGCGGAAAACAAGCTTGCTCGCTAACTCGCAAGCAATATTGCATAAAAGTTCTATAGAATGTATAGAAATGTCAAAGTGATCCGATGCCAGCGCTGCGGCGAGTAGTTCGCGGAACTGATAATATTCAAATCAACCGTTAAAAGCGTGAACGAAGATACACAATGAAGTGTTACGTCTGTTTGTCTGTGATACTTCCTTGAAATCCCGATGTAGACCTCCGTGTTGACCTTGTCGCCTTCTGGAATTAACACCGGGTCCATTTTTTTTTGCCATCGGAAGCCACCAATCCAAACACCATAACGCTAGCAGGATGCTTAGTCAGATACACGTTCTTGTGCTCGTCGGCCACGTCTTTTACCGGAAGAGAACTAATATACCGGTCGGTTCTGGAATTTGATACGGGATCGACGGTAAACATGCTCTCGTCGGTGAACAGGATTACCGAATGTTTTCGCTTAATGAAGTTCAAGATTTTCTTGCATCGTTCGACTCGTAGCTCCCGGATGCGGTTGGTAATCATGTGAGTTTTTTTTCCGTGCCCTCAACTTCGCCCCACAATCTTCCTTTACGATCTTCCGTGCCGTAAAGTCACTGATCCCGTGTTCCTTTGCCATTTTCCTTACTGAACGCACTGGATTCACCCGAATCTTCCTTTTGAAAGCAGCGATCACCCTCGAAACCCAAGCTGACCTCGGACGACCTGTGGCCACCTTCGCGGATAGTTGTCCTTTCTTTTCTCGGTCTAAAACCCTTTTGACGGTCCACCGGGACACTCCCACGGCGATTGAAAAGTCTTTTTGCGACATTTGAGCTTGGGACAAATCACGAATACGCTGCCACTTCGTCATGGTGCAACTGTCAAACTAAGTAAATCATTTTCTTTTATACACAGCCTACTACGGTATAAGCTATAGGTTACGTGCATGCAAAGAAAACCAAGGCATTGTATGCACAGGTGAAACGGGAACCTTATTTGTACGATGGTGCAAACATTATCACGCATACGGTGTATACCGAATAAATCTTTACATTCGGTAGTTTTAAGTGAAGTCAGAAGATTTGAAATTAGGCAATAAATGGCTGAGCTATGATTTTTGAAAACACATTAAAAATAACACATTTTTCCGGAGGAATCGTATTTGGAGTGTCTAACTGAATGACTCAAAAGGTCCGATGTAGCGTTTATCGATTTTCTTTCGGAAATTTCCGGCACACATTTAGATTGAATTAGGTATTGTCTAGCATCTAGTATGGCAAACATGACAGAAACCATTTTTGCAGCCGAGTTCTAGATGAACATTTCAATAGCTCATATCTGCTATGATCGATTCTCTACAAAAACATTCCCTGCTGTGTTTGAAGATTCCAGTGCTAGATTATAACTTGTTTAGACAAAGTTTTGCTGTTTTTATGTCATTTCAGTCCCAGTCATTAATCTGGCTCAGGCAATCATGGAGGTTCAAAGCTTTTTTTGAGTATTAAAGCCATTCTGGCCTCAAAACATCTGTACTCAATAATGGTCGGTTGCGAGTATATGGAATTGCTCAAACTGGATCTCAAGCGACAAAAGTTTGAGAACTTCTGTTATTTTCCTCAGAATTCATTTGAAAAAATCCCAGATATCTCATAAACAAGTTTTGTTTTCTGAATTCACTAGAAGTTCTATGGAACCATGTATCTTTAGAATTCCCATTAAATCCTCCTCAAAATTAAACCAAAAATTTACTCAAAAATGCATTGACATGTTTTTAAAGTCCTGCTGGCATTAGCTTTCAAATTGTATTAAAAACTTTCTACATCTGCAAATTATCCTCAATATTCTCTAAGCAAACTTCCCTTGTAATCTTGCATTAGAATTTAAATCTAAGAAACCCCTGTTTGGTTCGTAAATGGAGGTTCCAGTGTGCGGAATCACTTCAGATAGTTTCGGAATTGCTTGCGATTATTATTGTTACCTGGGGGATAACGTAACAATAAATTACACAAGTCTGCACCTTCTCCTCCCCTTGTTCACGAACCCAAAATCACTTCGGAAAGTACTGACTTACTTACCTCCCGGTTCCGATTTTTCTGTAGTAATTAAATATTTTCTATATATATTCCAAACTTTTCAAAAGTGGTTCAGTTATTTAAAAGTAATTTCGAACTTATATGAATTGGTGCAGTACTTTTCCAAGCGATTCCAAAGCTTTCTGAAGTGATTCAGTTCTATCCAAAGTTATTTCGAGCTTTTGTGACGTGATGCAATATTTTCCGAAATGGAGAGTCGAGTTTCGAACGCCTTTGGATACGGTTGTGTATTAAGTTTCTTCTCTGTTTTGTGCGTGCATTAGCTTTCATAGTGTTCGGCTGCATTTGCCGGATTAGCGCTGGCACTCTGCCTCCCGGACGGTTATACGTGTGTGAGTGGTAGTTTTCTCGCTTTCCGAGAAGTTTTAGAATCGAGAAAGAAAACATGATTCATCATGTTTGCAAGCAACAGAAGATTTAACGCTATCTGCGTTGTTTGATTTTTTCTCCCGGTCCAGAAATTTGTTGCATCGTGAGCAGCGAATCCAAACACATAAAGCAACCAACGATACAAACAAAACGGTTGCTACGACTACCATGACAAACTCGCTCTGTAACAAAGCTCGATCCGAGTGGTAGAAGGATAATGATATATTGCTTGCCTGCTTTGTTGCAATATACACGGATGAGGACATAGCTTGATATGAATCGGGAAAAGACATAACAAAAAAATTCCCATTAACACACGTGTATCATCTTCGGCTTTACTTCGTGAAGCAGCTTGCCAACAATTTGCTCGTTTCCTTCTACCGCCCCGAATGAGTCGGGTCGCACGAGCTGCTTGTCATGAAAAAGAACGGTGAAGATTATATCATTATTGTTTTCAACTTCTGACATAGCGTTATTATTCGGTTCGTTGATCGCTTGTTAGTTTGTCATTTGGAGATATTTTTGATTCCTTGATCGTGAGTGATGATTTAAATTTTAGTTGATGTTGTTGGTTCACTCGCAACTATTTTTGAAAAAAATAAGTGTTTTCGAACGAAAGTGTACCAAAAGTGCTTCTGAACGCGTTTCGCAGTTGGGTGTGGTGAAATTCGTGCATTCCCGTTTGATTTTGGAAATCCGTATCACAAAATTGCCCACCGATTCCTTTTTTTGCCGTTCCGTGTATTTTCGCAAGAGTGACGTTTATTGGATCCGTTTCTTTGCACGGGTGTTTTTTTT